TCATGGAGAACATACTCTCTCCTATCAACACAAGAGTCCAGTTCGTAGCACTGACAACGAGTCCGCCATTTATGCCTTCTGCGGCTCGCCTGCCAATACTCGAGTGCCCAATGGGGAAAAGGACAAAGGGGGAAAAAAAAAACAGCACATATACGCCCCCAAAGTTTGTCTTTCGAGCATTTTGATTGTAGTGGAGCGAGGCCCTAACTCCCTCGTGCCCCCAACTTCCAAGCTCGTTTTTTTTTTTTTTTTCCGTTTTTTTTGCTGGCAAAGAGCCCGTTATTCATGCCTTCTACAGCTCCTCTGCCAGTACCAGAGTGCCCAATGGGATAAAAGGAAAACCACGAGAATAAAAAAAAAAAAAAAAGGGGGGAAACAAATGAAAAAGAAAGGAAAAATAAAAAACGAAACCAGCACAGTACTGGTCGCCCGTGTCGAAGGACCGGTAGCTCCCCGTACCACGACCAATTATCAGTTGCATTCCAATGAGACAAAGAGGTTTGTCGGATGGAAAAAAGAGAGGTTCGGCAGAGTGCTCCGGAAGGTACTGGTGGTTTAAGCCAAGTCAGGATGACTGGGATGAGAAGTTACCGCTCGTCGCCAGCTTGTACAACAATGCTGTGCACAGTACTACCGGTATGACTCCCAACCAGTTACATCTTGGTTGGAAGCCCAGAACTGCCCTTGACTTCCTGCTACCAGAAAGACAATCCACTGCAGCACCTGGCAGCATAGACTTTGCTGCAGCAGGCCGTTGAACATATTAAGAAGTCTCAGGATGCTATGATCACATCCGAGAATAAGCATAGACGGCCCTCTAACTTTCAGGTAGGTGATAGAGTCTGGGTAAAGTCATCTGAACTAGGTCAGGAGATGGGGATCTCTAGAAAACTGATGCGCAGTATTTTGGACCCTGGGAGATCTTGGCCATTGTAGGGGATCAACCGGATGGGCCTTCATACGTGATCCGTATTCCTGCACACCTACGCACCTACCCAGTGTTTCATGCCTCCAAGCTGGCACCTTTCACTGCCACTGATCAGTTCCCTTCCAGAAGATCAATGCTGCCCCCAACCATGGATGGCGAAGTGGACATTGACCAGATCGCCGAGCATCGAGTGATGCCTGTCCCTCGACCATCAGGCAGAGGGCGACCACCTAAACTGAGAATGCAGTATCGTGTGAGCTTCAAACATCATCTGGATCCTAAAGAAGACCAGTGGTTCACACGAGAAGAACTCGTGAGAACAGCACCGCAAGTGATCGCAGGCTATGAAAGAGCACTCAAGGGGAAGATGCCTGCAGAATAAGAGACTTCTCAAAGGACTTACGAAGTAAAGGAGGAGGGAATGCGAGGATCAGGGTCCTCGGTAGGCCTATGGGGCCCTGTTTGCAGCATTGCCCGCCCTAAGTGAAGGCGGGCCTGGCTTACGCAAGAGGCCCTCAACTGTCAATTTCATATTTGGGGTCCAGGCAGTTGCGACACGTTGCGCAAGGACCGCGCCTATGCCATATTGGCTTAGCGTATGTGGTCACAATAAATGGCTCGTCAGGATCCGAAAGTTTGAGAACTTCGTAGTGTGTCAGAGCATACTTCAATTTCTTGAAGCTTGCTTCACACTCTTCAGACCACTCCCAAGGGGTGTCAAGTCGAGCTAGATCTGTTAATGGGGAAGCTATAGTACTATAGTTCTTCACAAACGGACGATAGTAGCCCGTCATCCCCAAAAACGATCTGACCTCAGTAACAGTCCGAGGTCTGGGTCAGTCACGTATGCTGGACACCTTCGCATCTTCTGGCCTCAATCCATCTGCTGAAATTTCATGACCCAAGTACAAGATCTTGGTGCGACCAAACTCGCATTTATCCAATTTTACCTTGTACTGGTGCTGTCTTAGGAGACCTAGCACTGTTTTCAAGTGCTCAGCGTGCTCCTCTACAGTCCTACTAAGGATAAGAATATCATCGAGGTACACGACGATAAACTTGTCCAAGTACTCATGAAATATCCGGTTCATCGCGTGCTGAAATGTACCAGGCGCATTGCATAGGCCAAAAGGCATCACCACAAACTCGTACAGACCGTACCTGGTCTGAAATGCGGTTTTGTGCTGGTCCTCAGGTCTAACGACAATTTGATGGTATCCGGAATTCAGATCTATCTTTGTGAAGTACCGGCATCCCTGCACTCTATCCAAGAGGTCGTCAATGCGAGGTAGGGGCTCAGCGTTCTTAACGGTGATGGCATTGAGACCCCTATAGTCAATGCAAATCCTTAATAGACCTCCCTTCTTTGGGACAAATAAGACTGGCGCACCATAAGAGGAGGTACGAGGCCGTATCCATCCCTTCTCTGTGAGCTCCTTGAGCTGGCGGCGAAGCTCATCTAACTCCGCGGGAGACATCCTATAGATCCGTCCTCTAGGCGCCTTGCTACCTGGGACAATCTCTATCCCATGTACAACCTCCCTTTCCATCACGACTTTGGGCTCCTCAAAAAGGTCTGAATATTGTGCGACGACTTTCTCTATCTTTGGGGGTGATTTAACAGCCTCCCCTTTCTTAGAGACAAAGACTAGATACATGCCCTCCTCTCGATTCTGCTTATAGTAGTTATAGAAGGATGAAGCACACATACACCCGCAATTTTCTATTAGACTGCTAGCTTTATACTTCTGCAATCTAACAATTTTTTTTTTTTTTTTTTTTGAGAAACGCCCCCACCAGTGTTAGTGGTGCTGATAAGAGAAGACACCACTAGCACCTGGGGGGAGGCTCCATCTATTGGTGGGGAGCATCACCTGCTGGGAACCAGGCCCAACGTCCCTTATACAATTTAAACTGGAATATGTCAGAAAGATACAGTTGTGAAAGTTTTCCTGCCAGCATTGATTACCCTGGTATCCAGGGGATTGACTGCGCAGGAAGCGGGGGAGGGGGGACCTCTTCACCTTAGAACCGGCGCCAGATACCTACTACAACAGACTAGTCCCTCCCTCCGTCGACCCGCCCAATCTCCTGTGCTGCTGGAAACCGGGTCCAGCGTCCCTGAACTGAAACTGAACTAAAAAGGACTTCTGCTCCCGCACTGCTCACTCTGCTCCGTACCATTGCATGTCAACCATGGCCAGCTGGTGGGGCGGGAAAGGGTCCGGGAAGTCAGTGGGCGGTCGCAATGGGACCTCCTGTCCCACCGTGGTCCAATCTCTGAAGTTGATAGAATAATCTCTCCTCAGCTCATCCTGGTGCTGTTCCTGCTCGGGTGCGCTGTCCCATCGAACCGCTGCAATCCAGCCACCGTCCTCTCCGCCCAACCAGTCCCCGGAGAATTGTTGAATTGCTTTTTTTATATCTTTGGCTGTCTGAAACCGATCCAAGTTATTTTTTGTTTTTTGCCACTGCACCCTGAGTTCTTGTTGGATGAACTGTTTGATCGTGTCTGTTACTTCTTCTCCAGCTATGCGGACCCCCTCTATTGCAAGGATACAACGTTTTCTCGAGAGGGCCCACATGACAGCTCTCCTCCCCAATTTGAACACATTGTTTTCAAAGGTGCTGTCCGTGGGGGAGGACCATGTTTCACACAGAATGACTCTCCAATCCCATGGCCATCTGGAGCCTGTGGCAAGCCGTGTCCAGATCCTGTCCCACCACCGCCATGTAAGCACCGCTCCAGGACATTGCATAAAGATATGCTCGATGGTTTCTGGGATTTTGCGGGAGGGAAAGGCCGTGTGGCACGATGTACACCATGGCAGCGCCCGTCCCTTCTGTTCTAGATAAGTGCGGTCAATTAACCAGTCATTGGTGGGCAGGCATCGGTGTTCGATCTGCGATTGCAGTGAGGCCATCTTCGCCGGCCTGGACTTGGTGGTGGAGAACCATCTGATGGGCCGGATTGCTTCAGTTCCTAGATTCAGGTGGGACCTCCATCGATGTTTCACCTTTTCCTTTATATTCACTTTCGATCGCAGCAGCCGATAGGTGGCTTTCATCGTTAGGGTGTGCAGCTTTTTGTTCTCCCCGCTTCTGCGTTTGTGCTGGGGGGACCACTGCCATTCCTCAGGGTCCATTGGGAGCTTTGCCACGGGGGTGTTAGGCTGGTATGCGATCCACAGTTCTTTGTCTTGTATCACACGGATCCTGTGCAGCTCAGAGTTCCTCCAGCATCTTATCACCTCCGGGGTATACCGGGTGAGCGCGCTCTTCTTTCCAATGTGGAAAAGGGCGGCCAGGGTTTCTTCCGCGCGTACCTCTAGGCAATTCGTGGATCAACAACTTTCTATCCCAGTCAAACTGAGGTTGCGAGACTTCGAGGTAGTACATGCCTAGTAGCATATCGAATGGCAATTCGTCGATCTTGTGGATCACTTCCCCTCCTCCATAGGAGAAGGTGCAGGCTACGTCCTTGACATAGTCTTTGACAACCATTTGGTGCTTGTTGGCTAGCATAGAAGCTACAGTTCTGCTAAGCCGCTGCACTTGGTCCCCTAAGCGCAGTCTATCCACACAAGCACAACTGATGAAATTTCGTGTAGAGCCTATGTCTGCGAAGGCGCCCACCTTGCGGCCACCTACATCTACTTCTACCACGAAATGTTCACCCTTTGGACCTCTACTGATCATCGCCCAAGAGTCCCTGAGGTCCTTCCCTGACCACTCAGTCTCTAACTCTTCTAGGGCCTCAGACACATCTCTTGAACAGAGCGTCAGTGGGTCTGAATGTGTATGCGGGGCGATGTGTGGGTCACTAGCCTTGGCCAACGCCTGAAGTGGGGAAGGCAACGTTACCACTTCAGCACGAGTAAGAGCGGCTAACTCTCCTACTGGCCCGAGGTGTTCCCCTGTGAGCTGCTCGCAGAAGCACTCCCAGGATTCGAAGATAAGCCCACCACCGTTGGTGAGGCTACCTTCGTGGTGACCTTCTTGTTGCGGCAAGTCCTGGACGTGTGGCCATAGTTGCCACAGTTCATGCATGTACCCCTGGGTCTCTCCACACCTCGTAATCTAAGCCAATTTTCACCCATGCGGGTGTCCCTTGGTCGCCCTGACTCGTGGACCGTACTACCTTCTTCTTCCCGGTCCCCCTAGCCTTTTCCTTGATAGGTGCCACGACTCCCCCATCCGTAGTCTCACTGGCCCCTTCGTGCTCTGTCACCTCCCCAAGATCTGGGAAATCGTCAATCTCCGTCGTTTGACCATCATGGTCAACGAACATTAACTGACCCTTCTTCTTCCAGTCCTGGGGGAGTCTCTTCCTACCATCATGGGACACCTGATGCGCAGATCCCAACTTTGCTTCTATGTCCAAAGCTTTCTTACTAAAAGAAGCGAAGGTGTGCTGTTCGACATAGGCCTCGTCAACCAGCTTGGTCCTTACCTCTGCAGGTAGGCAACTTAGGTAATCCGTTAGGAGAACCTGCTGGTCAAAACGCACACCAGGTACCACGAGTAAGCGTTCTACGGTGTCCGTCAACTCTCTAACATTTTTGTACCTTCTCGCACAAAGATTGTTGATAGCATCGGTGGCCTTTTGAGCCCCTTGCGGGTCATGCCACCTGTTGCAGACGGACTGTACAAACTCTTCCAATGTTTGGGCCTGTGCCCAAGCATCGAAGTTTTGACGGTAGCCCTGCTGCTACACTAAGCCATTCAACCAGCGGGCTGCTGACCCCTCTAAAAAGGAGGCAGCCACTACAACTTCTTGCTCTGGCCTGGTGAGCTTGTGCCTCACATAAGTAGGCACAATCCTCACCCAGGTGTCTAAGTCCTCATCCTTCTTCCTGTCGCCAGAGAAGGGCTTGGGACTCATCAAAGCTATCTTGGGCATCCACTGCATAGGCTGCATGGGCCCAGGGGCTTGCTGCAGCGGCTGCATAGCCACTGAAACAGGCTGTTGCACACTAACCTGAGCCTGGCTTGACAATGGGACTGTAGTGACCACTGTCGTAGATGGTACGACTGAGACTGAATGAACCAGACCACTAGTTGCTACTAGACCACCTAGAGGGGGTATGCCAAACATAGGAGAGAAAGTTGACCCTGTGTGTTGCGGCATCGATGAAGGACCCGCACGCGCAGGGGGAACTACAGCAAACCGCGGCTGCCTCACCGTTGTGCGAGGAGCCCGAAGTTCAGCCAGGATTTGTTTCGGCCT